ATTAGTCAGGATTAAAAATTAATGTCAATATATCGTGTTCAATCAAAAGGTATTTAATTTGATGTCGCGATTAAAGATAATTAATACCCCCTGTTAATTAAAAATATCTATTAGACTATCCACAATATGCTACCGACGAGTTCTGGGATACATCGGTCATATTGCCCGCAGACAACCTAACAATTTGGATAAACTAGTAGTGGTTGGAAAGATCGAGGGCACAAGGACACGGGGCCGTTCACCTACCCGATGGACCGATCAGACTCAGTCCATTCTGGAACTCAACATCCCAACTGCCCTGAGACGAGCCGAAGACAGGTCGGCGTGAAGGCAGCTGGTCGATGACTTATAAAGGCTTACCAAGGCAAGCACGACCTTCAGCAATGAAGAAACGAAGAAAAATACCCCCTGTATATACAAGCAACTTGAGGCCTGATAATAATGCTACATTTTCGGACGACAGCAAATATCTCGCCTGGGAATGACAGAAGTAACTTTTTTAACCGTTGCTACGCTTCGTTGCACTACAATAGCACCGTCTGATCTGTATAGGAAGTGATATTAACGCAGACGAATTGTAGTCGATTTTTGTATTCGAATAAATTATTATTTTTAAAAGGGCAAATCGAATTTCAATAAAATAAAAAGGTCAAACTATGTAAGAATCTAACAAAAAACAAATTTCTAAACAAAAAAATCTAAACAAATTTACCTGCACCATTCTAATAAATCTTTTCAAATAAAAATTTAGACATTCCAAATATAACTATGACTTCTGAAGAGTATACGATATTATTTTTAAAAAAAACCTCTTCCTTTTTGAAGTCTGTTTAATTCTTGGTATTGAGTTGGTACGTTGTAACTTTTGAACGATTAAAAAAATATCGATACGCAGAATTCCTTTGCTGGGATCGTTTAATATATTATTGGCAGTTTGTGACTAATAAGATTTTAATAAAAATTGAAGAATAAAAATGATTCACTTGTTCTTATCAACCAAAAACAACAAGACCATTCAGAAAACTGACTTAGTCACCGCACATAGTGGTTACCTTGTACAAATAAAACAGGGTATTGTGTACACTACGAAGATAAACATATCTTTTTAATAATTTGACCGATAATTAACATTTTTGACTACACAATACTGAAGTGAAAAGACTGGACAGCTTTAACATTAACGCAATGAAAAAAACTATAGTTTAAAGAAACTCCGACTGAATTCTAAATTCAATACTGACATATTCACCTCTATCTAGATGTAGACAAAACCTGGGATAATTGTTAGTTAAGCAAAATTAAAGATACATAAAAATAAATTTTCTTAAATTCCATCAAATTATTTTTGGTGCCGGAGGCCTAACTTTCCCTTTCCACACTTTTCTTTTAAGGATGGATAAGGAAAGTGGATTTAACGGTGGAGGAGACGCATAGGAAGGAGAAATGTCCTCTTTATGTGTGTCTCCACCGTCAACTAAGGGTAGACGACGCGTCTTCTTCGCCATTTTGGCGGATTAATAATGGTCGCTTGTTAGTTTGCCACCTTATAACATAAAAAAAATTACGTCATACTTCGCATCTTTGGAATGTTATTAGACGCCTTATGCTAAGTTGTATCCTATGATATTAAATCTGACCGACATTGTAGTTTCGAATGACAGTGATAAAGCGAGCTTGAGAAATGCAGAAATGGCGCGTTCCTGCGGCAATTGATTGACAAATGATAAATGTGTCATTTCATAGGTAGATTACATTCCTATACTCAAGTTACTGCAGTGCTGTATGTTCGAGTTTATTCAACATCTACCCTTGTACTGCATACCTGTTTTAACAACTACGAGTACAACAAATGCATGATTATTAGAAAGTAGGTAAGATTACTATTTTATAGAACACTAATTGTATCTCACGGATTCGCTTTTTTGCCGCCCGATTTTTTTAATTTGATTAATAATTCTTGGCTTGACACTAAAAAAACAATCGATCTAATAGCAAATTACGATTTTTTCGTTTATTAGTGAGCCTCGATGGATGATAACTGAACACGGCCGCATTATGTGGGTACATCAAAATTATAAAGATCGCATTAGAAGCGATGCATAAAAAATGTATTTGAAACCGAACAGTTATTTTTGTTATCAAATCGTACGAGTGCAGTTATCGCTTTCCAACGATGCGCCACGATTTAGGCGGGAATTTAGATATATCAACGGAAAAAGATAACGTGGGTGTGTAGTATTGACAAACTTGCTTATGTAGGCATAGTACCTACATTATTGTTCCTCATGCAAGGCTTGTCCCGATAAGAGACTTTTCCGTTTAAAGGAAGTTAATATTATTCGCGGTTTCATCGAGTTTTAAAGATTTATTCGGTTACAATCAAACTAAACGAATATTTAAATATGCTAACATTATTTGAATTTGTTTTATAACAATTATATTGAAAGTTAAAAATAGTTAACATTACTCCAATAAAAGGATTCCGCGGCCGGTATGCACTATTTTTTTTATTTTTGTTAAAATAAGGATACATGAAATAATAATGAAATACTGCTATACTTTAAATGTGATTTTTTTTTAAATCCTCCTACTTAAGCAATTTAAAATACGGTACGACTGAAATAGTGTCGGTATAAATAAATAATCTTCAGATTAAAACAATCTTGAAATGCGTTCATAAATAAAGTCTTATCAAATAATCTAAGATGCTATTTGCATAGCAACTTTAATTGTAAAAGCCGGGCTCAAAGTTCATTTTTAAATTCATCGGAAACAGTTTCTTATCGTGAACGGGATAGACAGATATAAAACAGATTAGAATCGGAAAATAGATTATTATTTAGCTTTTCTTACGTAAAAGTGGCATATCACAATATTTGACCAAAGTTTTAGAGGTCAAACGAGTGCTTCGGACAAAACCCGGCTTTTTGTACATATACACCGAACCCACCTACCCATATCGAACTCGGCTACTAAAACGTTGAAGGGCATAAAACCTGTCTTAAAAATGCAATGAAAAATACTGTATGTAATATATACAATAAAATAGGGCTTCTTCGCGCCTATTTAGGCATTTATTTTTAGATACTGAATTTTTTGGAATAAAATAATACAAACGATAATAACACATAGTATAAATTAAAAACAAGACAAAACGTTAAACTTTTTAAAATGTTAAGAATGTTTTCGGAATGAAAATAAATACATGTCTGTACCATTTATTACACAATTTTATAATGATGCTATATTTTCGTCATTAAATAAAAAAATATATTAAAACTTAAATTGTACAAATCAACTGCATCGTTAAATAAAAATATTAATGATCATTAAAATCCAAAATTCTATGTTATTATATAATTAGTAGGTATACATACAAAATATACTTAGATAAAATTGTTAAATGTAATTTTCGATCTGTATAACAATAATGAAATTCCAATAAGAAAAAGTAGCGGCATAGTAAGCAATAAGCATTGCTTACAAAAAAATTAGATGGCGTGGTCGCTCAAATGTAGCCGGCATTCTTGATTCTTCTTAAAAAAACTGTTTATTAGTGAAAGTACGTTACAAAATCACTCACCGATCGTCTTCATGAACTCGTCGAAGTTCTCCGAAGAGGTCATCTTGTATTTCTTGCCGATGAAGTCCATTTTGTTTTATAAAAGTTGGTTTTGGTGAGATAAAAAGACGCGTCTACACACGGCGGCCTCTGGCACTGGAATGAGTTGAGTTGAATGGTGGCGTGATCGGTGCTCGCTCGTTGCGCCGCGCTCGCTGGGTGAGTCGACGTTCGTTATCGGTCTCACGCATGCGCTCGTTCGAAACGGGAACGAAGAAAAATAATGAACGAATGAATATGTTTCGGTTAAACCTGACCGCCTGACCTGGGGGTGCGCCGGAGACATCAAATTAGAGATGGCCAAAATATGTCCCATTGAGAAAAAAGTGATATCTTTTCAATTCGGTGATATATATACATCACTCTTTTATATCAGTAGCTCATTAGAAATTTTGAACTAAACTGTTCAAGTAAAGAGAAATAGGGATTAAACGGTGGTATTATATTATTTAAAATTTAAAGATGGGAGAAATATTTGTATAAGAATACCAGATTTATGATATATTTTTTTAGCAAATTTTAGCAAAATTATAATTTTCAATGATTATATCTTCTTTCTCTGTTGTTATATATGTTCGACGCACATACCAAATAATGAAAAAAAACAAATGCAAGTAACCTCTGTGTTTTTCCAGACCTCCTGCGTCTACACCAAATTTCAGCGAAATCCTTTCAGCCGTTTAGGCTACACACTAACATCCATTAAAATAAACTTTCGCATTTACATATAATATTAGTGTGATTATTCTTGTTATATTTTATTGTGCACTTGTACAAATTTTTAATTAAAACTTTGTATTGTTGCTTTTCATTTGAATTTAATATAATTTCCGCCCGCCCGCATATTGTTATCAACAAGAACCAAGAACGGTTCCGGATCTCATGTGCTGCAATTATGATTGCCATTTTTAATTTGAGATGACAGATTTGTAAATTAAATTACTAAAGAAAATCACTTCTCTCAATTACATACATTTAAGTTATCGTTGGATTGTGTTTTGTGTGGAAAAGAACAATATTTACTTACACATCAATCATGTTTCAGAAATAATTAATTGTAATTGCCAACTCTAAAAATCACATATCGCGCACAAATAAACCTCATAACTGTCCGTCGCTGTGTATTATTATTTACGTGAACATTCGAGTTCTATTGAATATAAATTAAGGGTTGTTTTCTTTGCGAACTACGAAATCTACATACTTACAAGTAGTTATTTGGTTTAGGTGCTGTTGATGAAGTTGCAGCGAAAAGGCAGAGTATTTCAAGATCTGTGTCGTTATAACTAGTTATATTAATTCTTTCTTTGAATTGACAAATAAAAAGTGAAATAATGAATCTTAAATTTTAGTCGTCGCAACGAAAATGTACCTTAAAAGAACTCCGTATACCGCATGCGCGAAATTTTTGACATCACTACAGCTTCCAGTTGCCGTCAGTCCGCTTGGAGCCATCCCCTGGAGCCCCTATCTCTGTCCTCTAACCCGACGCTGGTGGATTGTCGAAAAAAAAAAAACAAACTGTCACAACTGGATCATAAAAGGTTAGTGTTTTTTTAATCTGTAAAATAAATATATAATTTAACAGCTTATAAATAAATATAAATAAAAACATTTCATGCAAGCAATATATTTTAATCCGTCAAACGGCCTTTGTTCCTTGCGTTTTACTACTGAAGTTTAAATCGAATTGAATAAAGGATGCGCTATAATTAAAAACAAGGTAAAAACAAAATGTAACTTCATTTTATTGTAACTTTTAATTTATTAATTGTCATTTAGAATATCTGAATTAACGTTATTTATTTTTATTTTAATTAACATATATCTTTCAATAATTTACAGTTATTTAGGTTATAACCTCACTAGTAATAAAGGTATGTAAAAATAGTAATACATTATAGATTTTAACTAGTGCAGTTAAAATTAAATTCAGATAATCTTAAATTCAGATTTTATAAATCAAATTCGGACGCTTTCAAATTAAAAACTGGAATAGATATGTTTCCATAACTAACTAACTCCCTGTTCATTGTTAATACGAAACTTAATTTAAATTAAATGAAGGCGATAAATAGAAACACTGAAGAATAACGCAGAAGAAATATCGACAAAGCTTACTAGAGATAAACCTCGATAATTACTCGACTGCAGCTTAAAGAATCTTTTAATTGATACTCATTACTGGTAATAAATCGAGTATTTGTAGGTGTTTTTTAAGTGTTCTAAACTGGATAGGTCTTATTAACCATTGAACAAACAAGAGTTTACTTAGATAATTGTTGGATACGTTTAGTAAGTGGGTTTGTTTAATTAAAAAAAACTCATTTTTTTATAAATCAGGGGGATTTTTTACTGATTAGGAAAATAATTGTTTCATTTCATTAAAAGTTAAAATGACTAGAAACAGTTATAGTGTTTTAAAAATAATTGTAAATTTTAAATGTCTTTCTATGAGTAAATATGATCAGATTCAATCTCTTTCTCAAATAGAGGACTTTTACCTTTGACCTGTTTGAATCAAAGCGATATTAGTTGACCTAGATTTAATAATGTTCTGAAAATGGTATAGAAGTTGTACCTAATCGATTCTGCGTTAAATCATGAACGATTTTCCTGATTTAATCTGTGGATTTTAGTTCTACAAGCTGAGTATGACGCTCGTCTATCGTTCGCCTATCTACATTTACAGTAATTCCTTCAGCTTATCTTAATACAAAGTAATACTTCTCTTATTCTCTATGGTTACCTAAAACTTTTTTCGTAGATAAGCATGAATTTTCCAAATCGAGGTTACGCTTCATAGGTACTCAATGTTCAGTTGTGCTTTACTAAGTAAAGTTTTATGCGGCCTTCATTTCGTAATCCGTACCATAATCTCCGTACTGCCTAAACTTTTATTAGGTTATTTCGTTTCAGTTTATTGTTTTTCAAGTAAAATTATATTTTATATTACAATTGTGTTTAAGAAGCACAATACTATAGATACTTACGTAGTTATAGTTTGGTTTTAAATATTCTACGTTTTTTTTTTAGAATGAATGTGGGGGATAACGATATGTTTTTGTATGAATGAATAGTATATGTTACAGTGAGTCGGGCAGGCGTGCCAGCGTCTGCTGTACCCTGTCGACCAAACCTGCAAACATATTCACCGCGGTGAACAACTTCTTCGCTGATTCGCCCCTGGTGAATCAGCTCAAAGTCATCATGGTAAGTTCTAGAATTGATATTGTTTACGTTGAGATATTTTTTGAATATTGAAGTATCGAGTTTTATGGTAAACGAGAGTTTCGTAAATGTATACAATATTTATGTAGCTGACTACAACTTGCCAGTGGTAAAATTATTTACCCTTTGCATAAAAGGTCTAGAATAAAACATTACCCCGCTTTATCTGTGAATCATATGCGGGGTTGCAGTTGAATTACTTTATTATTCAATCGCAATCAACCATTCGAATGGAAATTCTCGAAAATAATCCTTAAAGCTAGGGGTGATTGTATCTAATTGCCTTGATCGTAACCAGTCAGAAGGGGACAAGAAAGACATTACGGTACAAAGCTTTTTTACCAAAAGCATCGCTTAATACGAACTTCGTAGTATCAGACTAAAGACTGCCATGCTTACATTCTTTTCCTTTTCCAAAAGGTCGCTTTTAAAAAATGTTTTGTTCAGACGAGGCAAGTAAATAGCAGCGGCGAGCCCGGACCTCCTGACGAAGCCGCACGTCCGGACACAAGAAGTCCGCCGGCTGTCGCCCTCAGCTCTTCAGAGAGGTATTTACATGATTACGATGTAACTTTACTATGAAATACATAAACATTTCGTTTTCCTATTATAGGTATAATTTTCCTTTGGCTCAAATGTTTCGCAATTCGCACGATTACATCATATTATTCAAGTTCGATCGAATGAATGGCTAAGCAAGAACCCTTAGCTTTGATTTAATACACTTAAGAGCATGGTCATTGCCATTTCATTTGTTTTATGTCAGGATTAGTACCCAAATAGACCTCTTTTCAGTTTGCTTGTTCGCAGTTTAGTTGAATAACTTGCGGAGTTTACTGGCCTAAATAATCATTTGTAATCAATGTACAACTATATAATGTTTATATATAAATATATAAACATAAATGTATATATAACTATAAATGTTTATGTTAGTGTTTTATTCAATTATAAAATAAAATGAAGCGGCCATAAATTTAGCTGTGCCTAAAATAATGGACGCTTCATTTTATCTATATCTCGCCTAAGACCTAGTGGGTCTGGTTTCGATTAAAAAACACCTTAAACCGAAAAAAAAAACAATCAGATTTAGAAGTTATAATTTATAATAAAAGCTAAACAGTTTCGTACACTAGTATGTACAAACACCATCACATCAGCTTATATCAGATTATGTGACTGTTATATGTGATTAGCATAACATGTAACTACAAACAAAAAGGTATCGATCGCTTTATCAATGCAAACAACGATATACGGCCATTAGTCACATGTTAAGTGCGACCATGAATGACAGATTTGAAGAATAAAAATATTTCCGAGGCACAATGGTCAAATATACTATAGATATATTTATTAGCCTTTTTAAATCCAATAAAAGTCTCAAAGATGTTATTGTCGAATAATAATCAAATGTATTCAATTGAAACATTCTTGCTCCCGAGTTCAAACATTGCCCGGTCGATTCCCGCCCCTAAAGGTCTCTTTGTATCTGGACCCCTACAAAAGGTTAAATGACATTGTTAGGAACCATTCTCTCCTAACCTTTTCTAAAAAGCTTAATCGAAGTAAATAGCTTAATCGAAGTACAAATGAATGCCTAAATACTTTGAATTTGTAATAATAATGGTCGATACATACATTAATTGATTTTTTTTAACAATACGTAAGTTGGTGTAAAAAAGAAGATGTGGATTAATATTATTGACAGTGGATAAATATTATTTAAGTATGCAGTTTATGCAAATTCATTGTCTAGTCGTTCGAGTTTGTGTACGCCCTCTTATTTAGGATAACTACCTACCTAAATATGATATCACAAAATGAAGACCAAGTAAATAAAGGAAACCTAAGATTTGATATTCCAAATTCTGGACATTTTTCTATACTAATACAAGGAGACAAATGAGCAACGGGAACACCAACATCTGCAACAGCAGAGGAACTACAGATGCGATGTACATATAAAACACTTTTATAAAAAGAGGCACAAAGTTGAGAAAGAATACTTCGATACTGTTGCCATTTTTTGCAGCCAATTTTCTCAACGCTCGATCAGTCCACCAAGATCTCAGCATCAAGTCAGTTTCTTGAAGCCGGCGGCGGACACTAACCTCGACAGGAAGGCGTCAATAGTAGATGAGACCACCGGCATTTCACGGACGCAGATGAAAGGTATATTTAACTACAACCAACTATAAATAAATGCCTACTTATTCATCGTTGGATGGTGTGTAAATCAGCAAAAACTTTGATGTTTGAACCATATTTATACTATACTAGTTTTCGCCTGAGACTAAAAAAAAAGTAAGTGGCCTATATGTTCTTCCAGCCTATCCTCTGCATCTATCCAAATTTAATCGAGTTCTATTCAGCAGTTTAGGCTACAAACTCTAACAAACATCCATCCATCCATCTAAAGTATCGCATGTATAATAATAGTAAGATTCTTCACGTTTTTATGTCGTATCTCAAGGCCCTAGGTCTACAAAATGAGACCACGTAATAGGAGTTAGGAATATGTACGTTTATCGTATCACGTATCGCTCGATTTTCTTATAAATTGCGCTATGTTAGCGTAACAACGCTCGTTTCAAATTTATGTAGCTGAAAATTACAGTGTACATTTGTCGCACCGACACTAGCCTATTGGAACAAAATTTAATAAATTTCTATAAGCATTTACAGAAAATATTTTTAAGTCATTTCAGAACTAGGATATCTATTTCATAAGTTCCTGGCCTGGATGATCTATCACAAAATAGCTTTGATAATAGAACGTTGTGTTGTATAATTTTGATGTCAAATTCTGTTAGAGTTCCGTGAGGCGTTCCGTCTGTTCGACAAGGATGGAGACGGCACGATCACTAAGGAGGAACTAGGCCGCGTTATGCGCAGCCTGGGACAGTTCGCGAGGGTCGAGGAGCTACACGACATGCTTCAGGAGGTCGACAGTGATGGTAAGTTAGGATAGAGACGACTTAATTGTATTTATACGTATTTGTACAATATTTATACAAAGAAAAATGCGAATTCTTCACGCAGTCACATTATCAATGTTCTTGTATAAGCTTTGAAAATGTGTATAACGATACTTTAACATTGACGACGTTGAGGGTTGTAAAATTTATCTGAGTTAAGCAAAAATTAATGATGTCTCGTTAGCACTTGAAATAGCGCTGCCACTGCTCATTTGAGAAAATTGTTTAAATGAACACAAATCATATACGAAAAGTTGCTTTTCTAAGCAGATTATTACTAAAGTAGTAACAGTTAATAACCGCCGCCGAACAGACTAAACGGAACAGAATGAAAGTATTTTGATCGGCTTATCGTGTTATGTTACCCTGGTAATTTGTGGTGACCCAGGCGACGGAAACGTAAGCTTCGAGGAGTTCGTGAACATCCTGTCGAAGTCGATGTGCGCGGGCGGCGGCAGCAGCAGCGCGGAGCAGGAGGAGCGCGAGCTGCGCGACGCATTCCGCGTCTTCGACAAACACAACCGCGGCTACATCTGCGCCTCCGACCTGCGCGCCGTGCTGCAGTGCCTCGGAGAGGACCTCTCAGAAGAGGAGAGTTAGTACCAATAATCTATACTAATATTATAAAGAGAAAACATTTGATTTTTTTATGTACTGAAATAACTCTAAAAGCTAATGCGCTAATTTAAAAATTCTTTCATCATTAAAAAGACATGTTATCAGTGAGTAACATGGGTTTTTTTTAAATTACACGCGGATGAAGTCGCGAGCAATAGCTAGTCTTTGATACTTGATCGACTTTCCACTGAGGATAGACACGAAGACATTGGCAGACAATATCTTTTTTATTTATTCTTTTACAGTTGAAGACATGATAAAGGAAGTGGACTCGGATGGAGACGGTCGTATTGATTTTCTGGGTAAGTCAACTTCTTAGTAATAGAGTACCTCACATATTTTTTACAGCCTTCACGTCTCGATGGATTTTACATTTTTTCTATTAAAATACTAGAGTTCGTGAGAGCTCTCGGCGAGCCCGAGGATGCATGCGATGACGAAGACGACGAGGACAATACAGATGGTCCTGACGGACTCGTGCAGAGAACTGTCACCGCGGTTTAAAGTTACCTACATTTCATAACCTCAAAGCGTATTCCACTAAGCTTAACTTTGTCAGAGCGCACGATATGTTTATGGAATTCACATATCACTATTCACTAAACTGAAACGTTTTTTCAATCAGCTAAATAGCGTCATAAAATCAAAATTTGTATCTTAAAACTTAGTGAAATTTTAGGCATTTTTATTGGTGTGAGGTACTTAATAATCCATGCATATCAGTATTAACATTTAAATTTTCTTTTAAATATCATTCTTAGTGTTAGGAATGCGAACGTCTTCGATTTATTAAAAAATAAACTCACTTATATGAATTGTAGATATTTTTATCGTAATAATGACGTTTTTCTTAAAAATTTAGTGAAGATATAAATTCTTCGAGCAGTTAACCTAATACCTCAAATACTTTTTTAATAATGCTTAAAAATATTTTATAAATATCTGCTTACTTTCATATGAATTTATTACAAACTGTTTTAATGTATTTAGCTTTAGAAGAGAGCTTTGTGCCAAATTTTAATAATTCATATCAATATTATTAATTAAATCCTAAATAATCTATTTCTATGTACAGTTATCAACATAATCATTATCAGAAATATTTATTTAAAAAAAAAAACAGTTTACAAAATGATATTTTACGTCTTATTTCTATTCACGAATTTAATAAATATCGGCCTATTGTATTAATATAATTTGTTGATGACTGTACTTTGGTAATATTTCAAATATGAGTATAGTATCCGGCATTTGATTTGGCACGTCAGATATGACAGTACTGTTCTGCGCGACGTGCCAACTTAAGGACCGGGAATTTTTACTATTTTTGACTCTAACATTGATGTTGTGAATCGAAACTTATTGACCAATGATTATAGATTTATTGATTCCAATGTTGTTTTATTTGTTACCTTTAAAGAAATTTATTTAAATCAAAACATCTTGCGACACGCTCGTTTAGGTACATTGAAAATAAAACAATTTCAATGATATTCCTCATATTTTAATGTTATAAAAATATTTACATTTCTTACATTATTAGGATACAAAACTTTATACATATTTAAATATACAAAAGCGTAACAACAACGACTATTAAAATGGCAGTTTATTATTTTAGAAATTACGAATAATAAAGAACATTTAACATTTGTCAAAATTGATTGTTGCAAGTAACGAATTAACACCAAATATGAATATCTTTAAGCATAAAAAATAGGAAGACAATTTTAAAATTCAATCATGACCTTCTATTCTATCGTCAATTACCAACGACATCAAACCACAACAAAAACCAAAACAAGTAATTTCTACACTAAAAAAGCTAACACTTGTATTTTTGAAATAAATTTAATTATAAAAATGCACTTGTTAATTTGAAATTGTATCTATAAATTATAAAAATAGCTCTACGATTCGCACTTACATTTAACAATAAATGATTAAAAAAACATTTATTTTGAAAGAATATAAAAACGCTTCAATATTCATGGACATCGTATGTTAATGGGTAAGTCACTTCGAGGTTCGTTATTCCTGTTGATATTAAATTGAATTAAATATTTTAGTCAAAAAAATAACAATAATGCCCTAATGTACCGATAGTTATAAAATACCTGAACCCCAATTCTAGAGACGGCCCACTGGCAAGCGTGGTGAACTGAACGACCAGCAATTGATTTCAAATTTGACCGTAGTACTAGTGACAGTCTATTTATAAATACAACACATTTTTTTATTTCACCGTGTTTTATTTTATTTTTTATGGTTTTAACTACAGAGAATCATTATGTGTCACAAGTATTAACCGTTTTGAGTTTTTTTTAGGCGGCAGCGAGATTCTTCTAGTCTTCATTTTGTGGTTTAAAACATCATGTTATCAAAGTTTAATTATGATTATTTCTGTTTCATACGTTGAACCTTGTTTTACTCAATTTTTCGCCGTTTCGATGTTTTTTTGGGTCGGCTACAAAGTAAAAAAAACCTGGGTGAGAATGGCCGAGTAACACAAAGTTAGATAAATAAGTTACATAATACATTTAGGAAGAATAAATGATTCCATGCTCGGCTATTCTCAAGCAGTCTATGGAAGAATCTGGAGAAAGTTATAATTTCATTTTTTATATCCTTGTTAAATAAATATCTTTCTCATATGTGTATGTGCATCATAGTTTCAAATGTTTTTTCTAAATCAATCTCTGCAAACAATGGCAACATTACGATGACGTCATCAACTTGTCAATTCATTTTTTCGTATATTCGTGCGTACGTCAAGCTGCCAGAAAGATAGTACTAACATATTGTTGTTAATTTATAATTTCCATACAAAGGTATTGTTATTGCTTTTAGTATATTAATCTTATCTAAAACATTTTTTTCTTTAGATGCTGCCTTCTCTTAGAAGATTATGCATTGTTATCTAAAGTCTGAACATTACAAGTTATTTATGTTCAAATATTACTTTGATTAAAAAAAATAACAATGTTCAACATCTATTTAATTATTCAACATGACATAAATGTTATCTGATTTGATTAGTATAACAAACTATTTATTAGATACAAGTACAAAAACATCTAATACAATTTACATACACATGAACTTCCATAATATAAAGGACATCGCAAATTCAACAATAACAGTATTATTGTAACAGAAATTAAAAATTGATTATATCATAATTCAACAATTGTACAGATATAAATAAGTTTCGGTTTTATTGTTACTGATAAAAATTGTCACTATATTTTATTTATAAAGCAAGAATACAAAACTTGTTTATATTTAATCTAAAATATTCAACACTAATAATTGATACGTGATATTGATCATTAATTACATTGTACTAAGGTAATTTATTGTATAAACAAGGGAAAGGAGTTTACCGGCTAGTGATATGCTTTGGTTCCATATATCCTGTGTCACTCAGAGCTCTTAAGACTACATTTCCGTTGGGCAGTATCGAGATCCACGTTATCGAGCCATGATTCAATGATATACGGAGCCAGCCTTCCGGAGGGAATTGGAGGGCCCTGGAAACAAAATGGTTTTAATATTATAAAACATCTAGACACGAACGCAAACAAATATATGCAATAAAAATCGATCAACGTTTACGCTGATAATTAACTTACGCATTCCCTTAGTATGAATTACGGGAAACATACAAATGAGAGAAACTTGGCCAACATTAAATTACTATACTAAACATGGTAGGAAATTCGAGACTGGTTATGATCATAATTTCGACCACAAATCTCCATCAAACTAAAGCCCAACACTAAACATCTGCAACTAGACAGAAAACAACTGTTTAGATGCACAACTAAAAATTGAGTAGTGTGTGCACCTCCACATAAGTTCATAGGAAACAAAGAGAGCCTATACTGTTGTGCACTAGTTTAGTTAAAGGTGTGTGCATGCTTAAGCTATAAAATATTAAACTCACTTGCAGACGAAGAATCGTATGACATTAGCGTGACATACGAGTAACGTGTAGGTATCCTGCGTCTGTTCTGGCGGCGCTCTGTAGAAGTATCGCCGGAAGGCGGCCTCTATCCGCGCGCCGTCCTGGAAGAACTGCTACACGTGCCCAACCATACTCTGTTAGTTTATCGCCCAGTATTGCTCTATACTACCTCAAAATTCACTAAGTAAAACAACTTCCTTTTATATAAGAAATATCTTCATAAGTAAAAGATGTCTAGGGTTTGCTTTGATGGACCCAGACATGTTTCATTATATTTTTCTAGAAAACTATGTTCTCCTAGCAAGCCTGGCTCTTTAGCACATAGGAAAGTAATGCTTCACAATGTTAATAGTAAGCATTAAAAATTTATAAGTAATGACATGCTGGTTAATGATTTAGTTCATAGTTCTAATTCACCTTTCCGTCTATGATTTTTATTACTTGACTAATTCCATTTCTATAGGGAAAGATAATGTTTGCAAATTCTAAATCTAAATGAATATTTTATAAAACTCTAACCAAAATCGACATTACACATTACTTTATTAACAGGTACAAACTAAAAATAATGTCAGTAAATGTTATAGAACTATGTTTCCTAATATAATGGTATGCAAAACTGGGCTATAAACTTTACAAACTTCAAAATTCCATTTTACCAAAGCAATTCAAATGTTTATTATAAAATCTACATAAAAACTAAGAAAATTTACTTTAACCAATAATTAAATAAAATTTATTGATTGATTTGGCAAAACAAAATGTATAAAAAACACATACATTAAAAACTATGATTTGTACAGTAAAGATACATTATTAGTATGAGAACAGAAATTAATGTCAACCAAGCTAAAAAAAGAACAAACAGGAAGGGAAAATATCCATTCTCTGCACAACTTCATACTATTAATGGTTGAAAATATTTAACTTTTTAATTTATAGATTACACAAACATTTTTAAAGACATCATGTAGCCACTTTTGCCTATTTGTTCCACAAAAAGGGATGTTTCTAAGATGTTCTTTATTGTAACTTACTCTTGGTTCTGGTGCCCAGTGCCCTACAGGTGGTTCAGGTGGTATGGGTGCTCCTTCTTCAATCAGCTGACAGTCTTTAATTTCTAAATCTTTACTTAAATGCTTAGCTATTATAGAAGCTGTTTCTTGTGCTCTAGTCATTGTAGATCTCACAAGTAAGTCCCACTTTATCTGCAATGTTGCCAGCCTCTGTCCAGTCATATCTGCTTGTATTCTACCTGAAAATTGTTTAATATCAATTAAGTTACACCTGAACTATGAACTATACCAGTTTATATTGCTAGACATTTATCAAATAGTTATAAGAACAAATATAGTAGAATATTTTGTGGAGATTGGGCTTAGATTGTCATCTTCTATACCAAATATTACCTAACATTCTAGACCTAAATGGGAACTATAGACTATGGATAAAAGCTTGTTTCCTTATTATGTAAGACTAACAATGAATACCAAAAGGTTTTAAGGTTGGATTATTAAGTTTTCTTTTCATATTAATCTTGAGTTATGATATTCACCTAATTCAGTCAAAATTCTCTCTTTGTCTGTAGCCCCATCCAGGTTATACTGTCCATGTCGGATGAGGAATAAATGTCTTACTGCTTTACTTTTTGACTTCTCTATTTGTTCATTATATCTGTTCTCATCCTCTGGCTTACTGGGTGATGGAGGTTGTACTATTGACTGTGGTTCTCGACTGAAACGTTACCAAAATAAAATAAAAATCACACTAACATTATAACAATTTTTTTTTAATAATCGTAAATGTGAATTACTTGCATTATAAACAGATTTTATTAATAACTATTGTAATAAATGACGAGTTATTAATAGTATCGCGCGTTTGTTTACAAGTAGGTCAACGTTTTAACATACTTCGTTATGCTACTCAAATGAACTTACCGGTCCCAATTCTTCTCCCATTTAACACTCGGCGTGTAATTTACAGTCCAAGAATTTTGTACATCAAATTTCTTATCAGATTTACCTATAGTGTAGTATGCTAAACCACCACCTACAGCACCTAAACTTATAAGAGCAATTTTATGTAGTCTTGAAAATGTAGCCATTGTATGAAAATAATCTTAGGAGCGTTTCGATTCTAGAACATTTAAAAGCTAATATTATTTCAGTTATTATACAGGACTTCACTTAAAAACTGCTTTTAGGTCAAATATTCAAAAATAACCTAAAACTGAAACGCACAACTTTTAAACTTCAATACAATGACAACTGACAAAAATGACAATCGACAACGTCACTTTAACACATTATAAAACTATCAGAAGCTGATGTACAACTACAGACTACACGTTTTGTTAAAGTTAAAAAGTTTTCCTGGTGGGTTTAATATATTTATCAATTTAAATGAGAAAATAGGCACTGCGGTTTTAAGATACATAACAAATCATTTGTTAATAGTTTTCTTAAATTATGAAACATATTCGATTTTTTTGTTATTTTATAATAAGTCTGGCAATTATATTTTCATTTATAGCAACATTATTCTATGTCGTCACGAAAGAAATTCAAACTTTTTTGAGAACGGTCAAATAAAAAATATTTTTATCGAAAAAGGAAATACATTTAAATTATTAATTTCGTAAAGATATACGAAAGAAGGATTAAAGCACCTGTAATTTTGCATGATACAAAATAAACTTCCATCCCAAAGGTAAATACGAAATGATTTGTTATGACTACAACCCACAAGATTTTTGAATTCCACTTATAATTTATCAAAACCCTTTATATATATTTTTCTAGATGCAGTCAGTATATTTATTCAACCGTAGTGATAATCAAATACTAGAAGAGTTGTTACGAGTGTGCAGCACGGGAAGGGACACCGCCCGCGAACAATGGAGCTTGCAGGCAGAGCTTCTAGTTGAACCAGTAGGCTGGGACGCCCTGTGGAAATTGTCCAAAGACTTCTGTAAAAAGTTTGGTATGTAAATGATAACTAATAAATGGTAATGCCTTCTATTAAAAAAAAAACTAAACAAAACTGTTGCTTTTTTTAAATATTTGAAATGCTTTGTCCTTAAACGTAACCAATAGTTATACTAGTAATTAAGCAATTAGGTGAACTTAGATCAAGACAAGTTCATTATATAGTTGATAATACTAAAATTTTGTTATACTACATGAACAATACTAAGAATTTATTTCTTGTCCTGTTTATATTCACAGATGTAAGATTTCCTTGCGTCGCTTATGTATCTGTGACATCGGTGGATTTTGAGGAATTATCAGCCAGTGCAGATGTGCTGAGTGTGCAACATGAAGCTGTGACAATACCAGAGACTGTTGTTGATATACCTCTGGTAGAGCTCTGGCCTACAATAAAACAACGAGAGGCCAGTATAAATGCGGCCACCACAGCTGATTTTATCGATCTTTTGAGGTAAGTACACAGTCATAATAATTAGCAAAAAGTAAGTGATTGGAATAAACATAATAATTCCATATGATAGATGAAAACTTGTAAAGTAAACCCTATATAGAGTGAACTTGTTAAGTAAATCCTATGTAGAGTGAGTATTCACAAAAAGCTGTTACCTTTCCCTGTGACTGACCTTAGACATATAGACATTTACATATAACTTGAGAACCATCTTTTGGAAGTCAGTTAAAAAAAGAACAAACTCTGCTCTTGCTTAGAAGACTTCTAAAAAATTGTAAATATAATTTCAGATTTTTCTATGAAAACATTTGGATGCCATGGGATGATCAGGATGGTAAAACATTACTCCCTAAAACAATAGAGGAGAGAATGAGTCTTTGGAGTGACATACACAATGGTCCCATACCAAATTGTGTTGCCAGATCTATAACACAACTAAGGAACAGTGCTATTGATGCCTACAAGAAACTCAAGGATCTAGATTCTTCTCTATGTGATGGTATATTGGATGATGATGATGGTAAATATATTTTTGCATTTTAATAAGTATTTTAATAAATAATGTACAACTGTTGTATAAATATTATTAGTTTGCTGGCAGAGGACTTTGACCACTGACTGCTTGACTTATCAGATTTTTATTATTACCTTAAAAGGTTGATGTACAATTTATTGTACCTCCTTTTAATAATTTGTGATATAATTAATGTAGTTTTAATAATTTCAGATTCTCTCCTACCTCCAAGCTACATATCAGAGTGTGCGGAGATGAATGCACGTCTGGACAGTCTGATGTCCAAATGGACTCTGTATGAAAACCCACTCATCAGGGAACAATACTTAGCTAAGACTAAGCACAAATGGCAGAAGACTAAAAGTAAAAGAAATGTATGTATTATATCCCAAGTAAATTCCAGTAACACCTTTATAAAATATTATCTTAATATCAAACATCCTTTATTTTATTTCATTCAATGTAATAGTTATATAGCAAACTTATAAATTTTCAGGTTGTGGCATTATGGCAAGGAGGTTCTGTTACCGAATTTAATGAAATATCGAAATTTCTCTCCAAAAACTTAAACAACGATCACAATCTGACAATGATGGCGTCAGCTGAAGATGGCTTATCTCTGGAGCCTGATGATCTGGTGGTGTGCAGCAAAACATATGAACTGCCCGAGATGCCTCTATCACAAATATCTATATGCAGTTTTAATGGTTAGTTGACATTTTTGTATAGCCTGACTGAGATAATTAAAATCCTGACCTTAGGACTTGCCAGCATTATTACATTTTAATGTGTGCAAAGGAAATAGTTTCATATTTTCCCACAATAAAGAGAGAATTTTTATAGCCTGAGTATAGGGAGTGATGACTGCGATGATATATGATAAAGTTATCTGGAGAACAAAAACCTGTCACGCCAACCTTACGGGAGTAGGATAACGAGGAAGATGAGATGAGTTTCTATATTCCTTGTCGAGCTAAATGTTTTATAACTTTTTTAAATTTAATTACTCATATTGGGCTAGGTAAGGTAGTTCGGAATTGGAAGTAGTTATTCAGTTAGATGGTTGGTCCCTTTACTAAATTACATAAAAATGTTATTCCAGGTTCAACATTAAAAGCAGCAGACATGAGATCGTGCCTGTTGATGCTGAGCGAGGAGTGCCGGCTGCGCGAGCTGACGCTGCACTGCGCGCAGGTCAACACCATCATCGTGATGATGACGGGCACCCTCCACATCAGCAACTGCATGCTTGCTGATGTCTCCAACAACTCACAGGTACACTAGTGTTTATAATAATACACATAACACATTCAATGCTATCATCATTTTAGTGTACGCATGTAGTGAACATTTGATTTGTTTTTGAATTTGATTTGGATTTTCTAAGTGTTAATTAATCAAAATGTTACAAATTTATTTCGTTACAGAGGGATTTCGCGCAAGGTATTGTGGCGAAGGCCGGAGCAAAGATTGTTATAGAAGATTGCACATTTGAAAACTTCTACTCTGGTATTGTTGTTCACAAAGGAGCACAGGTAATTTATTGTTACATTTAAAAAAAATTAGATTAACTATTTTGTAGAATTGATGTGAATTATAAGAACGAAATAAATATTGTTGGTATATACCTCATTTTAGCATTTATGTGATAATAATTTTTGGTTTACTGCATTTTTTCTGTTCTATTATAATGGAAGATACACGCGATATACACTAAACTCCAGGTTTTTGCTTTTTATTCCAGCATCCTTTAATATAAATAACAAACAGATATGGCATTTATTTAATGATTATGTGTATTACAGGTTGAGTTAAAGAAATGTCTCCTGAAGCAATGCGGTGTGGGCATCCAGATGTACTCCGGCTCCCGCGTCTCGCTGGACAGCACTGTCATAGCAAACTGCTCCGAGCAGAGCATACGCTACGAAGTGTACGATGGCTGTGCTAATATCGACGAGTGAGTATCACAAAGTATTACAAACCAGCTGTTCCCATACAGCTTCACTCGCCTGATATTTCCCTTTATTTTATTTTTTATATTTCGTAAAACTTTTATTTGTTAATGTCCAAATTCAAAAGCGTAAATGACAATGAATGACATTGCTTAAAATTATCGTTACCATGGAAATCTTAATTCTATGCTGCGATTGGCTTATAGTATTCGTCCCTTATCGCACATTTTTTCTAATTTACACACTCCTAAATTTATTGGCGCGAAAATACACAGCCCGTAAGAATATTGTAATTTTAGGAATTTTTATTAAAACATGTATTAGTTGGAATGTTTAAGAAGAGCAGTCGAAAAGTTAAAAAGGAAAAGCTATAAATCTTGTTTTTTTTTTCAGATCGGAAGATCTACAGATAATGCCGAATTGTACAATTGGTTCTGGAAATTTAGATAAGGAAGTTTTAACTGTTAACCATGATGTTGACTTATTTTAAAATTACTTGTTAACAACCAAAAAGTTAAGTTTTATATTGTATTTCTGTGTATACTAGATTGCAGAACATTTATTTTACCCACCATAGCAGACACGGATAAAATCATACAAATATTACAAATGTGAAAGTTTAGATGGATGGATGGATGGAACATACATATGTTTGTTAGTGTTTGGAGCCAAAACGGCTGACCGGATTTTGATGGAATTTCGTATAGATGCAGAGGATAGTCTGGAAGAACATAAAGGCTACTCACGTTTGTTTTTTTTCACGCGGACGGAGTCGCGGGCGAAAGTAAGTTTAAAATATAATATACAAGTGTCAATGTCCGTAACCCCTCGACCCCCACCCACAACTTTTATGCCAGTAGCTGCGGCAAAAAAACAAATATCCTGCTAGCTACTCGTTTGCCAGTTTAGTTGAAGTTTAAATACACTGCCTGCGTTATTTTAAGTTGGATTTTAAAACGTAGCTACATGTGCATGTAAAGTTTACAAGTTTTAGAATTAAATGTATTTATTTTCGAATCAATCAAATTTATTGTAATAGTTTTCAAAACCGGCGTTAGTTCGTGAAATTGAAATGATTGAGTCACTAGTTAATGTTTCCCACTGCATGATATTGGATTGCAAACAAGACAATAAAAATTAATATGGGTATGAATCATATTAGTCATTATTCTTATGGTAGCATAAGATGAAAACATCACAAGATATGTAATTGGCTAACCTAATGTCAACTATCAACAAATAAAAATGTAATTTGTTTTTATAATAAAGGTGTTTAGTTATTTTAATAAAAAAATGTTTTCTGAATTGTATTTTTTTTAAATACAGGTTATTGGTAATTTCCGCGTATTTCCGCTAAGAAGTGATAAAAAAAAAAATAAAAATTGAATCTTATCTGCATTACGCAAAAGTTAACCATTTTTGAGGTCATGATTTTTAGATTTAAATGTTTGAAGTTGCATATTAATTAAAAACTGGGAAACTTTGTATAATGCATATGGGGATTAATCTCAAATATACCCCTGTATCACTTTTTAACAGAAATACACAAATTTACATTTCCATCCCACGGCTACAGGAATCTGCTTTTTGCAATTTTGGTAAAAATGTTTGTTGTTACTTTGTGTAAATCTGATCTGAAAAGTGAATTTGAAATAAAAATGAAATGGAAATAAATAAATAACTACTTTAGGTGTTTTACATATAATGTAATAAAAAATTAACGTTATCAATTAACATCAATTACTTCTAATCCTATTGAATAATCATTATTGAAACTCCTATTGAATGTTCCACATCATCATTATACATAAATATATCAAATCACAGTAAATTAATCTTAGTGATAAATGACTTATAGCAAAAAGACAATCATTTAAAATTCAAAATGAGAAATATAAAATGTGAAAGAATCACAATTCTTTCGAGTAATACGAATCTCAAGACTAATAAAGAGGCAATTACAATTGTTAATAAATAATAAGGCACTAGCTCTAATCAATAAATAAGTACAAATGCTTGAGCAAAGCTCCTAAAAGTATCCTTCTATTCAAATATCTTGACGGCTCGGGATCATCATATCATCAGGTAATCGTATTCTGCGCAGCGACTTGTGCGACGTTCCAAGCCGCCAAGATAAATGACAACTACAATAATTCTATAAAATGCACAAAATAAGAATACGAGAAAATGACTTTAGGTTTTTACAAATTGGTTTTGAAGCAGGAACAAAATTTAGTTTTTTTTACAGTAAACTTGCTTTGCATGCTGAAAAGCCAGTCGTATCATATAAAAAAAATATCTAAAAATTCGCACCATATAAAACTTATACATTCATACTAAGTTCTTCTTAAGAAAACGTCCTAAAATAATTGGTAAAAAATATTATGCTGTGGTAAAACTATCCAATTTTAATAGCTACATAATCAAATTATATAAAAATTGTATCAAGCAGTGGCAACATATCGAGTAGAGGCTTCAGGTGCCAAGGGGTATCAATTTATTGCAGACTGTTTTTGGCTACAGACGAATTTGCCGTCACATTTGAGAATCGACGTGGGGTAAGAAAATTGTTTTTTATTCCTTTACTTAGATTTAGGTTCCAAAAGTTACATATATCTAAAATCTATTTAAACCTGACTTGTCTCGCGAACATTTCAGCGCAAAGGTCGGCGGTGCCCTTGGCGGAGCTGTGCTCGTTGTCAGTCTCCGTGTCGGAGTCGAACTCTGAAGTGGCGGCGGGAGACTTCCTGCC